AATTTATAAATTTCTTGAAGTTTTAATGATTTTCATATCCGGCTCAAAAGGAGAAAAAGTTAATATTTTCTTTAGATAATTTAATGTTTATTGTTTCTTTAACTTGTGATTTTTCATGTCACGTTGTTTTATATCAGCAAAGACTAAAAATAATAACCTACGTGTATATAAAAATATGGCCTTGGCATCTAGTATCTAATAAAGTAAAAATCTGATTTATTTGTTAATTTTTCGGAATGCTATTAACGTATACACAATTTCAATATGTCTGGAATAACAATTCTAAATAACAAGTAATAATAGTTAACTCATTAACAACTGACACGGCAAATATTGAACGTAATTATGCTTTGAAGAATATATAAAATAAATATGTGAACATACAGAAGTTTAACAATTAAAAATAAATTAATTAATTCAACTCTGCTATCCAGAAGTTGCAAGTTGCTCAAAGTTAGGCTCTCCGAAGACTCTTTAAAGTGCCTTTGTACATCCGAACAAATGACATAGTAAGAATAACCCTTAGAATAACCTCGGTCAAAAAATACATAAGGGACAGAGCCCTAAAACGACAGGCTGCCCTACTTAGCACTATCTAATCTTAGAATAACCTCTAGCCACACGGAGCGGTAAGCAGATCTTAGATCAGTCATTGAATAATAACGAAGCTTTTGAGGAATACATACATTAGTCAGTCGGAAGGTTGGGTCTTTGCAAAAACTCCTCAGCTATCAAAGAGTAAAAGTGTACAGATGCACTAACTCAAAAAGATTTTAACATGAACGTGAGCATGAATTATTCAATATCTGGTTTATGAATTCGTTCTAATAAGCCACAACAAGTAATGAATATTCACAGCAAATTAACAAAACTCCGAAGTGCAAACATACAACTCAAATACGGCTTTGGGTCAGTTGGTTAATGAACACTGACTCTGAGTTTTAAATTTGGCAGGACACGAATTCAACCCTTGGTACTTTATTTAATCTTAAATTTTCTTTTTATGTTATATTATATAAAAATCTAAAAAATATGTTAAAATTAAACACATATAAGTAATAAAGTCGACACCAATATAAATATACTTATATTAATTATATAGTATACTCGTGTATTCACGAGTTCAACCTTTGGCACTTGCAGTCTCAAAAAAATTATTTACGAATAATTAAATATGAGAAATAATTCCAAGACCTGAAACGGTGGCCAAGCCAGAAAGTTATTGTTGTGTTTGTTGGGATTGGATCATCTACTACGAGCAATGGAAGAGGAATTGTGTTCTATCAGGACAACACCAAGCCCTCACATCGATAATGACTCGCCAAAAGTTCCAGGGTCTTGGTTGGGAAGTTTTTATACATCCATTTTATAGTCCAGACCTGGCACTAAGTGATTAGAATTTTTTTGGTGAAAAATTCGTTTCAAGAGTGGGTTGTGAAAATCGATTGCCTCCATTTTTTGGCAATATGAAGAAAGATTTTAACGAGAGAGGTATAATGAAATCACCTTCAAAATGACAACAAGTTATTAAGCAAAAAGGCAAATATTTGACCTAAATCTGAACATTCTATAAAGGCTACGGTAAACAAGTTTTTAATTTCATGCAAAAATGATGGATTTCTTTTTACTACACCTATTACGATCAATTTTAAGGTATAATTTCAACAACTGTACACATTAAATAAAATAGAAAAACTTAGAATATGTCATTGGAAAGGAATATATAATGTTCTAAAATAATTATTTTAATAGGAGCCTATTTATTATGGCAGAAAAAATCAGTATTAATACTGTAATTTAGATGATTCGATATCGTATTATTATTAGATATCGTATCCATTTGTAGCAGAATGGATACGATATTTTTGCTGATTATAATTATTTTAATCAGTTTTTATATCAACATAAGTCATATTAATATTTGAATCTAAATATCTTTTCTATTTCTACATGCTCAAAAATTTGGATTTATTAAGATGTACAAGCCTACCCATAGGGATTACTATATTTGGCTTGAGTATTTTAACAGTGCTGAAGCAGTGCATAAAGAATTCAAAATTATTTTTCTTGGTTGTGTCAAAAAAAAGGATGTACTTCTACTATGAAAATAATATAAAATTATAAGAAAATAAAACTCCATTAATTGGTTAAATATTTTTAAATAATAATCCCTATGTCTGAATAGTTTCTTAGCAAGTGAGTATATAAATATATGCACGAATTTTTTACTTATATATAAAGGGGCTTTAAAATTGACTTTTAAGAACCATTGTACTTTTTTTAATTTAATTTTATAAAGAGGTTTTTTCGAACAGTAGTGAAATACAACAACAAAAATTTATTTTTTATATTACTTTAATTAATTCAATTTTTGGCTGACCATACAGCTGTTTCGAGTATTGCCAAATACCCATCATCAGTGGTCTTGGAAATAATTCTTGTATTTAATTATTCGTAAATAATTATTTTTTGAGACTGCAAGTACCAGGAATCGAACTCGGGTCCTGCCAAATGTGAAGCTCAGAATCAGCGCACCTTAACCAAACTGATCCAAGCCCGTATTGACTTTTTTGTTCGCACTATTTTTCTGGAGTTTTGTTACATTACTATGGAAGTTTTTATTAACAATTTTAATTTTTTTATTTAATTTGTAAATTTTTATTTAAGTTAGATGTTATAGTAACTTTAATTTAATTATATTTAAAACTGCAAAAGTATAATTAAAAACGGAATAACAAAGAAAATGTAAGTTTCCATTTTAATTTTCGTGGTTTTCGATTAAGTTTCAGTAAAAGAGCTACATTTCACAAAAATTACTTCTTAATTTTATTAACAATAACAAAAGGACCATTATCCATTGAATATTGTTTTTCTTAAATAAAAACAATTGGAATGTTTTAAATATATTAATTACTTTTATTACATTAGCAGTTAAAAGAAATTAATTAAATCGCTTTAACATTGTTTTAATTAAATTTTGGCTAACACATATCATTCTTTCGAAACGTTGCACATAAGGACGTACCCACACAGGATATGCAAATTGCAATCTCATTTAAAAAATTTTTATTATCCTTATTTTATTTTGCATGTATCCAAGTACCAGCATGCAGCATGTGAATTTAGCAATACAGTATTTGTTGGAATTCAATTACCATTTTTACACAATTTAACTACTTTGCATATGATAGTCCTGGCACTGGCACGAGCGTAGTCTATTGTGTTATTTCCAGCTATCCAAATAGAGAATATACACTTCGTAATAAAACAAACTGAATATAATCGAATTTCATTTAATTTCACATATTGTTAAACAAAATATTCACAATTCAACGAATATGTTTGGCTCTTTGTTTAACCTTAACCAGTTGGAATTGATGTAACCGTCATGTTTGTGTGCGGAACATGTAACCTTACATGAGGCGCACATAAAATCCACTATCGGCAGTTTGACGAGAGTCCCAAATCGGGATTTCATATTTAAACAAGTAAGACAAACAGATAAAATGGTTATATGGCGCTCGTAACATTGAAATTGGCAAGCGTTGAAAAGCGTATCCTTTGAGGTGTTTGGTCTTGAAGTGGATTGCAAATGTTATTACAGTTGTCTTATTTCTGCTGAAAATCTAATAACTCGTTTAAATTGTTAAAGAAAATAGTTGATGTAGTGGAAACTGTTTCGTTATGGTTAAGCGGATGAAGTGCTCAAGGACTGTAGTAACATTATGGTATAAAGTATTTTTGCTCTAAGTAAAGCTGATATTAAAGTAACAATGTTAGTATATTATTTAATTTAAAATATTTTTGTGTTCACGTTAAACTCAAAGACTGTAGAAATAGAATTGCTTTTATGAGTTTAGGAAAGGAAATTTGTTGCTTTCGTTTCATAAAAGCAGCAAAAAAATTTTGTTACTCATACGACATGATGTACATAAAATTTTAAGGTTTTGGGAAGCTGTTGTGTTTGTGGTTAACTAAATATTTGACATAATCTATATATACTTAAATATAAAATGTATGTTGCTAAGCTAAACTCATATTACAGTTTATTTTACTGGTATTAGCAATATTGTTATGTATTGTATTAAAGCAACAAAAAACCAAAAAAATGAGTTTGTTGGCCTGCATTAAATAGCCATTGAAAGCAAGACAAACAAAACAAATTTAATGTGTTTTAAATTACATGTCCTTATGTAGCAAATCAGCACAGTCATTGAACTTTACAAGCAGCACATTCTAAGTGAAGTTATAAAAATTGTTTCGTCTTTCTCAGAACATTTTTTCTCTAGATTTCCCTGAAGAATTTCAACATAATTTAGTTTTCTTTATCTAAGCAGACAAGAACTCGTTCCTTACACCAAAAATATTATATAAGTGAAGCATTTTTTTTTAAATAGTCTTATACGGAATTCTGTCTGAGGTTGTATCTCATATGTACATATTCTGACCTCACATGTCGCGCCAATCTCAATTTTATGGCACTTTTCCTTTGATCTTTCCTGTAAAAGCAGCTTTTCAATGTATTTCGAGCTGGTAACAAATTTTCTTGAAAGGATAAAATCCATCGAGACATTTTTATAGGCCATTTCATTTCTCATTTCTTGTTTTCTGTGCTTTACTTTTTGCGCTTCCTTCGAAGGTTGTCATTTATTACAAAAGCAAATGTAAAATGTTAAAATTATTACCAGTCAAATTATGAGAGAATTTTATTTTTATTGATAATAAAAAGGCAGCAAAAGGCAAAAAAAAAATAACATAGAACCACCAAGACAGGAAGGAAGGAAAGGATTATGTTTGAGGTAAGTCTACTCGCTTTTATATTTATAGTCCTTATGTGAGTATAAATTGTAATATGTTAAATGACAGTGTCGAAATAAGTTTATTACTTACTTAAAGACTTAAAAGAGTTAATAAAATTTTTATGTTAGAACTTAGTGCAATGTAGTGAATATATGTGGTAATAAGTAAATTTAATTGGTTTACTTGATTTAGTGTTGAACTTACACCGCGCAGTTACAGTAAAGATTAGTGCTTTTCTATAAAAATGTTTATTAGCTTTATTACAAAAATAATGACTAACCTGGAAACCATCATAAGTCCAACTACCAAACTTCATAACGCATGTTTGCTCATCAAATGGAAAATATTCTACATCAATTTCGCAGGAGCTTTTGTATATTGCTGGTGGGCGCCACTCAACTCTTCCGGTATAGTTGAGAGTAGCTTTTGTTGCTAAAGTTACTTCGAAGTTGCCATCGGCGCTAAAAGCAGAAAAAAAGAAATAAATAAATATTTGCAATACAAAAAAACCTTATTGAACTTGAGTTTAATTAAAATTTAATTAAATTTAAAATTATATGATTTGAAAACAAATTATTATTCAAATGTATGTAATCGACACTATGTTTGAAAATATTTCAACTAGTGTAATTATAATAAAATTTTAATATAAATTATTACATAAAAATTACACTAAAATAATTTTCGAATATTAACACAGCATATATATCTAAGTGGGACGTATATTGAATTCAACAGGGTCTGCAGTCTGCCTAGGTTATTTAAGTGCAGGAACCTTATTATAACATAAAATCTACTACTGTTTAACACAATAGTCTTACCAGTACTCCCAAATAAATCTTAAACTTGGGTGCTTAGCAAAATAATAAAATAATAATAACTTCTAATAATAAAAACTACGTATAATATTTGGTTTAGTGAAAAATTAAATAAAAAATGATCTTGAATAAGATTATATATTTAATTTTTCTGAACTCATTCATTTATTAATAATATATAGTATATAGAATACAATATATATATAAAATATATAGTACAATGCAAACGACTAGTATGAGGTATGAGAAACAGATGAGATGAGGCGAGAAAAAATATTTGGATTATGTATAACAATTAAGTCGATTATTGTTACTATTATTGTTATGTTAAAGACGCTTTGTGCTACCTTCATAGATTAAATATATTTATGAAATCCCAACTGCCCCAATACATTGTAGTATTGAACCTTTATTACAAACCTTTATATTGTCCTCCGATATAAGATGACTACCTAAGAACTTCTTCCGGTTATTATTTAGTGCCAGGAAAACTACCTGTATGTGTTTTAAGCTCTCATACTCTTTCATAAAAAACCAACTAGTTTCATTGAAATAAGTTCTCAATTCTGTGAGGTGATATCTTTACCTACAGGGCGCTATTATAACGTTAATACCTATTCTATTTGATTATTTACATAGAAAACACATAATTTTATTATGTCAAGGATTTGATTATTTACATAGAAAACACATAATTTTATTATGTCAAGGACTGAAACACATGACCTCCTTTTTATGTCCATATAATTGCGTATCAATTCAAGAGTTGAAGGTTTGATAACCACATTCTATCTTCTGATTCATGAATTTATTTGTTAGTAAAATTTTCATTATATAAAAGATTTAAAATGGGTAAAATGTAAAATACTAATCACAGTCACAGTTAATCACAGTTCATGAACGTGAAAAGGTTGTAAATGGCACAAATATTAAATTGTTCAATTGAAATTCAATAATGCTCTTAATTCATTTTCAATATACAAATACAAACTGATTTATATAAGCAATATTTGAATTTCGTTTACTATTTCTTCTATATACATACGGCATGAGTTAAATAAGAAAATATTGAAACATCTAATAGTCGAAACAATAAAAGCATAAAAGAGATTGAACTTGAATAAATCAATTTATTGACATCCTTTTTACTGTATCTTCTGATTTGTGCAATAAAATTAATCTACCACAGCTTTCATTTAACTATTTCAATTTGTTTGAGTTTTGCCATAGCATACTTACTTATTATACAACACAATATCCGGTCGCCATATATGATCAGAGGGTACATGTAACATTTCGACGCCACCATATTCTTTAGGTTCCCACTTGAGTTTGTAATCATACCAGGTTTGCTCCACCCACAAATTGGTTGTCATGATTTGATTCTTTAAATTGACATCAATCAATTGCGATAGTTTCAGCTTGATGCGTACTGTCAGAGCGTCTGTCACATTGACAACGGGACGAACCAATTTGTTATAGTTGCTGAGAAGATCGTCGTAAAGGCGCTTAGCATCGGGATTCGATGTGCTGCCTATAAGAAAAGAAGAAGATAAAGAAGAATGATACACATTTAAATAATAATAGTTGATATAGTCAAAACTTTATGCAACAATAGCTTTTGAATTAATATAATATTAAATCTAGTTTGGGTTGTAGTCATAAGGATAATGAAAATTGTAAATGATAAATTAAATGCAACATTAAATGTGTTGTGTATTAGCACCAATCTCCTTATAATTTTTGTTTGAGTTATCTTAAATTTATGTCCATACACATAATCAAACAACACAAATTAATGTCAAAAGTCAGTAAAGAAAAATTACGAAAAACTTTTATGTATCTCACGCACAAAGATATTGTTTATCTTTATTTCTCGCACAACACTGCGTATGAGCAATATTTAATTGGCATACGAAATTAATGGCTAACAGATAAGTAAATTTAATTAGTTGTTGGCCACATATTGTTACAATTGCTGTTTTTGTTGTTGTTTTGTTTGTGTTAATTTAATTTTTATTCATTACACTGATTAAGCTTGAATTAATTTCATGCCTTGAAAAAAAAATAAATAAGTACTATAATGTGTGAACGTGTTATTGCCTTATGAATTCTTAAAGCATGTTTTGGATTAATTTTAATATTAAAACACTGGGTCATATGGGTTTGATTAAGGGTCGTATTGAGCAAAGAGGCAGATAAATTTGCAAAACAATGATCAAGGCATAATTTCTGCGGCCCAGAGCCCAGAACACCATTGGGCTACAACATGACTGCAGCCTATGTCGATAAATGGATTACTTCATTTCATCTTAATAGATGAAGAGAGATGAGCACTTGTAGACAGATTAAACTCATGAAACCGCAACCGTTGGCCAAGGAAGCGATAAAAGTCTGACCAGTAATTAGTAGCTGACCTCACTAATTACTGGACATAGCAACTTCAAATCTCACCTTAAAAAGATAACTCTTCTTGAGGAAGACACTTGCAGACTATGTCTAGAAGAAAAGAAGACAGCGGTGCATATATTGTGCCAATGGCCAGCATTGGCAAGCAGAAGGAAGACTATCTTGGGACACCTTTGGGTTGATGATGACTCGGCATGCAACCTCAAGCTAAATGCACTGCTTGCATTGACAAGTGATGTAATTATGCGAACGGAAGCCACTCTAGCTTTAACTCAATAACGACATCCGAGAATCGAAGGACGAAAAAGGACCCAAGTCGTTTCGTGGTCTACTTCGGCTTATTCTACATTTCAGTGGGGCCATTTGTTGGACGGTGCGTTGTCCCAACGTCCCATAATATATTTATTACGGTCTTCTAAGAATATTTTGGTAAATATAATTATAGTTTTAAGAGTAAATATTTTTATTTTAAATATAGTTTTGCATTAAATTCATAAATTATCTACAAATTTTTTGCTTTGTGTTGATAAATTCTAGTCCAACAAAAGAATAAAAGTTCTTCGAGCAATAGAAAGATATTTGTAAACAATAAAAAAAGGAAAAAAATTGTTTAATACAAATCCCAATAGCACGCAAAACGTATATGGCCGCGCTTTTTTGGCAATCTGGAACTACATACCAAAATCTGGAAATCAACGTCATTACATATCTGAACAAATTAACGCAGGCACTTTTATGAAATCATTGCACAGATACGATACAAAGGCAAGTCAATTTAGTGCGTACGGAAACGGAAAAGGACAACAAAGGCTACCTTAATAAAGCATAAACAAAGGAAGATATTCCTTTCTGTTTTTTTTTGTTTTTTTTTTTGGAATATAATTGAATAATCCTTTGGCATTCAAAGCAATGTAAAAACATTTAGGCAATTTTATTTTCCCCATTTATGAGCCTAAATGTATGTGGGTATATATTCGAACACGTGCTGCTTTTCATATGTGAATGCGGATGATTTCATGTTAATGTATGCTTCATTATAATAAACACATTTTAGTTGCCTTCTGACAAGTAATAATGAAATGTGTTGCGATTGTGGTTGAAAGTGTTAGTTGTAATGTGAGAGAATGTATGTAGTAACTATATTTTAGCATTTTAGGCTTAAAACATTTATTTTAATAAAAACACGAGCCCAAAAGACCACACAACGGTTGAAAAACACCCATAAAAGTGCAGACGGAATATATTTCGTATTTCGCACACTTCGCATCTTCGAAACACTCGCCTGGGTGCATTTAAGATAATGTCTCCCACGTGTACTTTGAATTTTACTGTCACTTTTTATGTGTGTGTGAGTGTTCAAAGATGACTACTTATTTGTCGGTCTAGTTTTTTTTTTTTGTTTTTTGCTTTATTTTTACTGGCATCTGTTCATCTAAATTGTAAACTTGGGGCTTTGTAAGTGTCTTAAAAGGGATCCAACTAAAGGTGATATAAAAATACAAATTTAATGAAATCTTTTTTGTATTTATTTCTATTTTATTGCTTGAATAGAGTTTAAATATTAGTATAATCCTAAGGAAATTGAAGGATTATAGCTATATAGGATAGTATGTGACAGGTTAGCCATTTTCAGTTATTTTTCTCTATTTTTTATAAATTTTTTTTACACTATAGATTATAGCATTTATTAATAAATGCATATTTGTATGGATCAATTTATAAATCTTTTTCATATTATTATGTTTGAAAATTGTATTATACTCACACTATAAGTTTTCTGAACTAAATTAAATGAAACAAACTTTCTAGCTGTCTGGTTCAGAAACATGATGCGAAAAGACACGTTTGATTTTTAGTTGCAGTTTTGCCATAAGACTTTATGACGTTTGGACAAGATTAGGTGAAATGTGTACTAATAACAAAATAATTTTTTTAAATTATTATATGGTTGGTGGAGTGCAACGACAGGTCATCTGTTGACATCCATTGACATCAATTATCGATTTATCGGCATTTTGCTACCACATTTCTTGCTAGAAACGTTAAGACATAAAGTGAAATTAATAGAAATCGTTAGATATTTCATCCTTACCGATGAATAGCCTGAAATTATTATATGACAATCCGAAAGTAACAATCTTGCATTACAGCCGGATTACCAATTAGTTTAAGATGTCGTCATGTGAAAAGTCTTTGAGTAAAGAATTGGAATAATACGGAGTCTCTATTAAATGTTTGTTTCGCATATAATATCTTTTCACAACATTCAATAATATTAGCTTTCTAAAAAAAAAGCATTTCACATCTGCCAAATTCTAAAGTCAAATCCATTATACTAGGTAGGTGCAAAACTTGAAACGTATTTAGTGAGTAAAGAGAAAACTCTACATTATTTCCAAAATTCACTGTCTTGATTTGGAAAAGGAACTTTGCTAACTAACTGGTAAAAAGTTCACATAAAAAAAAAATAGAAAGCACAAAATGGCGCTGGGGTAACTTAACGTAAAGAGAAATCTAAGACGACATCAGAGGGTCCTTTGTCGTTGAAATGACTTTAAAAAGTATTAAGATAGTGAGAGCATACAAAATATCCCTGAACGGGAAATGTCGGTAACAAAGTTTAAATAAGTGGTATAACATAGCGGAATACTATGGAAAAAGCACATTGAAGCTCTAGCTTCTTTGAGAAGGAAATAGACTCTGTGGAAACAAGACTCCGTGGAGTAAATATAATTTAGTTTACATTTTTGGGTTTTCTTATAAATAAGCATATTAAACTCCTTTTATGACCCTCTCTACTTATTTTTTTTTTTGCAAAAAATGTTCAAAATACCAAAAAGCGTTCGAAATACATAATCATTTATGTATAGGACGGAAAATTTAAGTCTGATACATTTTTTCTCAAAAATACTGCTTATTTTATACTAATTTCTTTTCTTCTTAATTTCTGAGACCATGATATGGTTATGAGGCCATGACAGTTATAGAGCCCCAGAAGCTTGAGTTTTGAGCACACAGAAAAAAATTATACAGATATAGGTAAATTATTGCATACATAATAAAGGTATCCTTCTGGTTCAATAAAGTAATATTTCAAAAGAATTGGAACCTTCAGAGAAAATAAAACTAACTTCAGGGATGGATTTATTATGCAAAATAAAGGTAAAATATGTTGATGTCTACTGTATTTTTATAATATATTTAATTTATATCGATTGAGTTTATGGAAAATCTAGAGAATTTTCATATTCTTAATTATTCTTAGATTTTTAGAACCAAAGTGATATTAATGATATAATAATTAATTTAGTTTTTTTAACTTCTATAGATTTGTCTTTACATACATAATATGACAGGGTACCATTCTTCCACTTTATTGGTCTATATTTAAGACATATACTATATTTTTATAAAAGCACGCATTTAGACAAGAAGAGAAAATTATTGGAAGTAAAATATTTAACTTAAATATTATTGAAAAAATATTTCTTATTATATTTCTTAAATATTTCTGTATTACGAAACATTAACAACAACGCCAATATAACGAATGAATACAAAAGTAGCAGTTAGTTAACTTTTGTCTTGATATCCTACATCTTTTGAAGAGCATATCATAAATATTTTTAATTTATATTATGAATAGATTATTTATCTAAAATATTTCTTTATTAAGAATCATAAACAATAGCATCAATATAATGAATGAATTATACAAGCAGCTGTTAGTTAGTTTGTGACTTGATAACCCACAGCCTTCGAATAGCATAAAAACATACAAATGTTATCTTAACTTTCTTGTTTTCTTACTTCATTTGCACAAAACAAATAAACGTATTAGTTTTCGAGATATGCCACTCAAACGAACATTTTCATGTGAATTTCAGACAAGACTTTTATCTGAAAATATTATACAGATATTAACTTACGGCTTTGTATTCAATAACTTTATGCAATCCAGATATAAACCGAATAGAAAAAGATAAAACTGACTCAATAAAAAATCCATATTAAAAAACTTCAATTTAATAAAGCAGGTAATTCAATGCAGAGCTTAGATTTTCCAATTTTATCGTACAAAGCACAATCAGTTAAAGTATTTCAAGTTTCCTCAAATTTACTCAAGTTTGCAGATGCATCTGCCTGATATGCTTTGAATTTTGCATATTGCAGTTTATAGATATAATTTCTATTATGTGTGTGTGGAAATATGGAAGCAAAAGATTTTTTAAAATATTCGTTTTGCTATAGTTTTGTATACAAATGAAATGCAATAAAAATGTTTATCATAATAATATTATTGAAATTGTATCTTAAAGAATAAAAAAGGAATGAGAATAATTGAAATGTGAAATTTATTCCATTATATTGATTCTTTACGATTATGAATATTTTTATAAAATTCAGTAGAAATAATAGTGTGTAAAGCAAAGGTTAATAGTAATTTATACTAATTTGTTATTTCATATTTTATTATTATATAAATAAAACAATTAGACTAACTTAATAAGTTAATCATAATAGAGATCTAAGAATCAACTCAGTAAAGAAATATACCAAGGAAGGAGCCCCAAAATTATTCATAAAAGTTGACAGGTTGCCCAACCCCGCCCTAGCAAACCTTAAGTCCACCTCAAGACGCACAGGAAGATATGCTGATCTACGGTCCATCAACAGTTAGAAGATAAATAAATGATAATGATTCTTGTATAGTTAAAGTTTAGTGTGGGACAGGAATAAGCTCCTCAGCCGCAAAAGAGTAAAAGTGCGCAATAGCACTAACTCAAATCACAACAACAACAACATAATAATAAGAAATAAATATCTGATATTTTTTTATTTTTAAAATATTTTTAATATTTTTATTATAAAATATTAAAAAATTAAATAAGTTCAGTTTAATTTTTTATAATAATCATTAGTATAGTGCATTTAGTCACTATTAAGGAGGATATATATTTTTAATTTGAGTTATTTTAACTATATAATAGTAACTTGATAATTATTAAATATTTTTTATTACTGTATTTTTATTACTTTAAACGAACATTAATACTATATTTAATATTTTTTAAA